GAGAGAGAGAGAGAGAAGGAGAGAGAGAGAGAGAGAGAGAGAGAGAAAGAGAGAGAGAGGGCCACACAAGACCAGTCACCTAGCCTGTCTGGGGGCTGAACGACTTGCGCAGGGGGCTGAGCGAGGTGTCCGCTGCGCGCGCAGGGCTGCACTGACTCTGCTTACTTGACCAATGTGTCTCTTCACCACGGCCATCGCAGCGTGGGGACGCCGGAGCATCGCCGATACACCAAAACGCCCACGAGGTGGCCACGGACGGCAGGCCGCCGACCAGGGGGCCCTCAGAACTCGTCCTGGAGTAGGGGAACAAAAAGTGGCATAAACATGCAAATTCGGAGGTCCGCCGATCCGAGACATCCGCGCGGACCTCCGAGTTTGCATGTTTATGCGACTTTTTTGTTCCTCTGTGGAGGGCCTTCGTGGGGGCGGGGGGGCCTTCGAGCGGAGGCCCCAGGGCGCACGGCTGCAGCCACGGGCGGTGCCGGCTGCTCGGCCGTCGGCGACGGCCGAGCATTACACTGTGGACCAGCGAGCAACATCTACATGACAGCAACACCGTAGCACACGATACGGCCATCCCCGACGACCCTCGGAGGACGCGGTGGTTTCGGCCCCGATTGCTTGGCAGTTGCTCCGTCGCAGTGGCGAAGCAGGCCGCGGCGTGCCGGAGACCTCGGCCGGCCTCTCTGGAGCGTGGTCGGGTACACAGCCGCCCACCGCGGCTGCGCCTGCCAGCCACGGACTGCCGTGGTGAGACGGGCCGGCCGGAGCCATCTCTTTACCTGTGCGGAGAGGGCGCCCCGCGGAAGGGGAGAGGAGGAGGAGGCAGGAGGAAGCGGAGGAGGAGGAGGATGAGGAGGAGCACCGAATTCACTCATGTAGGCCGGCTCGAAACACAATTTCCAGCTCCTCGGCCGGTTTGGCGCATGATCGGTACAGCGTGTCAACGTTGAACTGGTTTTGGTCGACGTCTCCAAGCTCAGCCATTCTCAACGCCCTCGAGGCCACCCTTTCAACAACCTCCCAGTCGGGGGGGGCGGGCTCGGGGCAGGGTCCAACAGGCCTTAGGGTGAGGAAGGGCGGGTGCCGACGGAAGCCGAGAGGCTTGAGGGAGGCGAGGCAAGGGTGGAAGGATGAGGACACGGGGTCGTTGATGGCCTGTTCCGAGTCTCCTGCTACTTCGACTGTGCGAATCGTACTGCGCCAAGCGAGAGCCAACCAGGAACAAATCCGACATCTGGACACCCGCAACGCCATCGCAGGTGCCTTCCACGCCGCCGGGGAGCACAGTGCCCGCACCGAGCTTAGCAGAGAAGGCCGACGTCGAAAGGCTTGGAGGCTCCAGGCCAAAGCCCGTATGATCGTTTTCTGATTCATTGTTTTGCCGACCGGCGCGGGCCTTCGCACCCCCCCCTTTCCCCCCCCCCCGTGGAATGGATCTTGGATGTTTCTGGGGCCTGTTGTTTCAGGCAGGCGGAGGCTCCCCCCACAGGACGCACCGTTGCAAACAGTCGCATTAAGCAGAGGCCTGGAGCCAGACCCCCCCCTCCTTCCCCCCTTCCTTCTGCCCAACGTCGAAGCGCCGAATAGGAAACGTTCACTACGACAGAGGGCGCGCGGGGGGGCTCTTGGGGCGCGACGCAGTGCACGCCAAGATGTTCTGCTTGGTCTCACTGAGGCAAGGAAGGATTGCAATCCTTCGTTTTTTTGCAATCCTCCTTTTTTTGTTTGCAATCCTTCGTTTTTTTGCAATCCTTCGTTTTTTTTGCAATCCTTCGCACAGCCCCGAAAGCAGAGCCTCACACAGCACAATGCTCGCGTGACCCAGGGAGGCGAACGAGGGCTCTTTCTCGGCCGGCCATGTGCGAGAGACCCATTGGCGTCCCCCAAAGTCGGGCAAGTGGATTCTGAGGTAGGTTCGCAGAACCCCTCCAGGGCCTGTGGTGCCTCCTCCTCCTCCTCCTCCTCCTCCTCCTCCTCCTCCTCCTCCTCCTCCAGGCCCCCTCCAGGGCCTGGAGGTGCCAGGTTCGAGGACTGCTGTCCATCCGTCCCTCACTCTCCTACGATGCGGCCTCTCGAGGGTCCTCGGCAGTCAGCAACGTGTGCACCTGGCACAAGACGACATGCGCTGAGGTATTCTCCAAGAACTTGCGCATCGAATGCCAAACTGGTACAATTTTGGCAGCCACTATCTCCAAACTGATCGACTCCGAATCGAAGCCCTCGTTCTCGCGATGCTCAGACGAATTGCGTGGGGCATCCGGAACTGGGCAGGAAGCTGGGAGTCTGGGGTAGGGGTGGGAGAGTGACTGTCTGGCTGGGCCAAGTCTGCTACCTTAGTGCTGGTGCTGCTGCCTTCTTGGGGGGCGGCCCTCCAGGCTTTCTTGCGTGGGGATGCCACTGGCGGCGGGGCCTTGGGCCCCCCTGCTGACAACCCGATCGTCCTGCTCCCGCACGCCTCCAGTCCGCGGCACCGCAACGGGTACTCACTAACCGGCACTTTGGAATGTTGTCGGAAGTTGCCACCACAGGGCCTCTGTCTGGCATTGCAGCGCTGCCCACATCGGGGAGAGTTGGGCTTACCGGGCCGCTGGCCAAAATTCAGAGCGTGAATTACCTACCCGCTTTCGCTTCCAGACAAAACCAAGTCATACCACGCGCCTCCTGGTCAGGCGACCTGACTGGTGCGGGCCGTAGCCTGGTGTCGTTTGGTATCGTTTGGAAGCGAGGGTGGTCAAAAGCGAGGTAGGTTCGATTGCCTCCTAAAAATGCCTGTCGGTGGAAACCCCGTTAGAGGGGCGCTGATCCAGCGGCAGCACCAGCAGCAGGCGGCGGCACGGGGGTGGCGGGGGGAGGAGGAGGAGGAGGGAGGAGGAGGAGGAGAAGGAGGAGGAGGAGGAGGAGGAGGAGGAGGAGGAGGAGACAGAGGAGGAGGAGGAGGAGGAGGAGGAGGAGGAGGAGGAGGAGGAGGAGGAGGAGGAGGAGGAGGAGCAGGGGCCAGCGCTCCTCCCTCGGCGGGCGCCTCGGCCTTCCTCCTCGTGCCCTTTTGGCCTCCGCTGCTGCCCCGGGTGCTGCTCGCGCAGCTCTGGCGCCCCGGCCTGGGCTTCTCCGCGAGGGGGCGCTTGGCGAGGTTCTGGATCTGCTCTGGTAGCTTTCTGTCGGGCGTGTCCCCCTACAGGGGGATTTTCGGCGAAACATAGAAAAATACCCCAAAAATGCCCCAAGAAGGGCCCCAAGAAGATCAAACGACACTCAAAAAATGTCCCCAGACTATTTTTGGACATTTTTTTTTTTTTTTTTTTTATTATTATTTTTGGGGTATTTTGTTTTTGTTCGTCGACAATCCCCCTGTAGGGGTGGCCTCCTGCCGATCTTGATCGGGGAGGCCTTGGTAGTCACACGATCCGAGCATGTCACCGTCGCCCACCTGCCACGCCGAGAGCATGCCGTCCAGGATGTCGGTGAGGCGGAGCGTCGGCGCCACGTCGCCCTGGGCCTGAGGCGACACGTACTTGTGCAGCTTGGCCACCGCCTGCTTGTACTCGGCCTTGTGCAGGTTCGAGTCGCCCAGGGTGCCCTCGAGGTCGGCGCGACGCTTTGACAGGCACTGTTCCAACTCGTGGACCGCTTCCAGACTCGTGTCGTGGCTCCTGCTTGCTCCCTCCCTCGCTCAGGTCGACCGCCGGCCACGTTCCCTGACGGGAGATCTCCTCCGCCCCTCCACCCCGGCTGCTCTGGCCAGGACGGGGGAGGGCCTGCGAGGGCGCCAGGGTCTTGGCCCAGAACCGCCCGCAGCTTCGAGCTCGAGCTCGAGGAGGAGGAGGAGGAGGAGGAGGCCAGGGATCGGCGGGGAGGCAGGGGGGGAGGAGGAGGGGGGGAGGGGTGCGGCGTCATAGCGAGCGCCACCGTGTCCACAGTGCAGTGGCCAGGCGGGGGGGGGGTGGGCGGTTGGGAGCAGGAGGCTGCAGCAGCCCCCCTCGACGAGGACGGCCAGGCACGAACACCTCTTCCCCGCACTCGCTCGAAGAAGAACATGCTGCACGCAGGCAACCCGCATAATACAGTGGAGGCCCACGCCAAGGAACACCCTGCTTGCCTCCAGGGTGCCCTGGGTTTGTTGGGTTTCGATGGTTTTGCTATGGAAAGCGTGACGTTCCCACACCAAAAATCAATGGCCGTCCTGGGGTCTCAGGGTTGGGCTTCTTGTGGAAAGTTTCTTGTGGAGTGGTCTCTACTGCAAGGGTGAGCAACCTTCCCAATGATACCCTTGCGTCCTTGCCTCCTCGGTCCATCCTTGGCCACTTCCGTTGGCCGCGCCCCGCTCGAAATCCTGGACGTGGGCGTCCAAGGCCCTTGCATCCTCATCGCGCGTCCTTGCTACACGGGTTGACTGTGGTGAGCGTCGGACTTCGGAGGGCCGCGCGGAGCCGGAGGGACCGCCAGGGGGGCCTGGCGCCGCACCACGAATTCCGCGCGGACTTCCGAAAGTTTCGGCTCATGCAGTTTTGCTTGTTTACTCGGGGGGGGGGTCGAGGGGGTATATATCGATGTCACGCCGCCGGGGGGGGCCCCCAGGGCCCCACTAGCGTGTTACGATGTTGTTTTTTTTTGCGGACGAAGAACGAGGGAGTAGCACGCCGATGGGGCCTTGCGGGCCCCCGCGGCGGCGTGATATTGATACTTTCTTCCCCCCCTCCCGATTGGCTCCTGCCGTTCCCGAAGGCAGGCCAGTCAGAGCACACACCGGCCGGGTGCAGCGTCGGCAGAATCGGCCTTCACCCCTCTCGGATGGGGGTTGCGGACTCGCATCGCGATCGCTGTTCCCTTGGCTCTCGCTGCGAGCGGCACTCGCGCGAGCCGACACCATGCTGGGGCGATGGTTCTCGTGGGGAGCGGTTGGGGGGGAGACTCGGCCAGCCGGGTGCTCCGTGCTGCCTCGTCTCCTGCAGAGTCGAGGCGCCGAGACGAGGGCCACTTTGGGCCAGCGCGGCCGTGCCCAGGCGAGCAGCAGCTGCGGATGATCTTCATGGCCTTCGGCGGCGTCTCCAAAGCGGGGGGGGGGGGCTCTCGAGGCCGCTGCGTGGACATTAGCGGACGCAGCAAGAGCTGCAACTCGTTTCTCTTGCAGCAGTGCAGTCGAGGGTCCTCCCTCTTGCCTCCGGGGCAACGTTGGTGCGGGGATAGGCTCTGGGGAGGATGCATCGACGCCCAATCGCCCACTCGTCGCCGATAGGACCTTCATCGCTGGTGCCTTGCGTAGCAAACGCACAAGCCCTCTAGAATTGTTTTGTTGCTCTAGAGGGTGTTTTGCTGAGTGCGATGGCAAGAGCCCCGTTTTGTTGTTATGAGAGCCACTCAGACTACGCATATTCCTAGTCATGCAAGTTCTACGCGTACTACACATGCAATAGGACAGTCATACCACAACAACTGAAATCTGTACGATGACGACTTGTATTCGCATATGTCGCACTACCACCTTGCAGCCACTATTTAGCTCCTGCTACTTTTGTATCAGCGCAGCTGCGACCGTTGCAAACAGGTATTACTGGCATTACCAGGTGCAGTCTGAATACCACTACTTCTACTATTGCTACTACTTGCACTCGTATTACCAAGGAGTCTGCTGTTGTTGCCACTGCTACTCCTTTTTGGGCAGTTAGTGCCGCTTGAATTCTCCGATAGCCGCTGTCATCGTATTCTTGTTGCTATCACTGCTACTCCTACTGCTACTTCTGCCTTTGCTCGTGCTGCTACGACGACGACGACGACGACTACTACTACTACTAGTGCTACTATTTCCGCCACTGGTACTGCAAGGACTACCTACCTACTACTGCTGCCACTACTACTACTACTACTACTACTACTACTACTACTACTACTACTACTACTACTACTACTACTACTACTACTACTACTACTACTACTACTACTACTTATACTACTACTACTACTACTACTACTACTACTACTACTACTACTACTACTACTACTACTACTACTACTACTACTACTACTACTACTACTACTACTACTACTACTACTACTACTACTACTACTACTACTACTACTACTACTACTACTACTACTACGACTACTACTACTACTACTACTACTATACTACTACTACTACTACTACTTACTCCTACTACTACTACTACTACTACTACTACTACTACTACTACTACTACTACTACTACTACTACGACTACTACGACTACTACTACTACTACTACTACTACTACTACTATTACTACTACTACTACTACTACTACTACTACTACTACTACTACTACTACTACTACTACTACTACTACTACTACTACTACTACTACTACTACGCCGGCGGCCCATCGGGGGCCCATCGCCGATCTATCGGCGGTGCACCGCCGATTCCAGCTCGACGGCTCCCTCCGGGGCCAGTCTATCTCCCTTCTCCCTTCAGGGAAGGAGCAGGCAGAGGTGGAGGATGAGGATCAGGGTGGATAGGACGGAGGTCCCGACAAGCTCTCCTTGCTCTCGGCGGCCCTCCCTCCTGCGGGCCGGCGCGTGCCGGGTCCTGAGGCCGTGCGCCAGGTGGCCGTTTTGGCTGGCAGGCGCAGGCCGCCCCGCGGTCACGCGGCTGGCGCCGCCGCGCAGCTCGCATGCGCAGCGCGGCCTGCTGCTGAACGCTGCTGCTGGTCCTGCTCTCGCTCTTCTCCGTCCTGCCCCTGGTGCTGCTCCTCCTTCTCCTGCTCCTTCTTCCTTGCGCGCGCAGTCAGGCTGTCCCGCGTGAGATCCCATGGCGCCCCGCCCCTATCGGCCGAAGAGGTAGGTGACCGAGCCATTCGGGGACCGACAACGCGCCCGCAGTTGCGACCGAACACCTCATGCGACCGAGGATGTGACCAAAGTTGAAAACTCGGAGGTGGATAGACCTCCTACCCTGACACGTCGATTAGTGAATTGGCCGTTTTCGGTTCGCGAGAGGGCGTCGCGGCCGTCGTTTTTGCGGGTCCGGGTCCGTTGGTTTCGGTCCCAGGCCGTTTTCACTAAGGGGAGGCTTAAAGGGAGGTTTGTCAACCACCGAAAAGCCGTCTTGGTTTTGAGTCAAGCATCAAGTCGGGCTTGTCCCCCTACAGGAGGAATATTCGAAAATAGTAAGAAAATAGTTTGGGGACTACTTTTGGAGTTTTTTCTGACCATTTCGGAGCATCCTTGGGGTATTTCTTATTTTTCGTCGAAAATCCCCCCGTAGGGGGACACGCCCGACTTAAGTCAAGCATCTTGGTCACACCCGGGCGGGGTCGGGGCAGAGACTCGGGCACAGTGTCGGTTCGACGGTGCCTCCCCGATGGAAACGGGGCTACGTGGGAAGTCCAGCACGGGAGCACGTCATCACACCTTGGATCGCGAGTGTCCTGCTCTGTTTTGCTTCTGTTTCCCCCTCTTCCCCCTCCATGGTTTCCACCTCCACTCCCCTTCGCTCCAGCCCCTCGTCCTGGGCGAGAAGTTGGCGAGGGAAGGGGACGAGGAGGAGGAGGAGGAGGAGGAGGAGGAGGAGGAGGAGGAGGAGGAGGAGGAGGAGGGGGAGGGGGCAAGCTAGGTGCGCTCGCGTCATATCTGACGTCCTACCCCTCCCTCCCATCCCTTACCATGGCGCTGATTTTCTCTATCCGCGGACGCGTGTCGTAGCGGACCTGTGGCTCCGCGCGCGCGTGCGTAGTGGGTGGTGGTGCACGTGCGTGCGTGCGTGCGTGCGTGTGTGCGTGCGTGCGTGCGTGCGTGCGTGCGTGCGTGCGTGCGGTGCGTGGTGGTGGTGGGGTGGTGGTGGTGGTGGTGGTGGTGGTGTGGTGTGATGGTGGTGGTGGTGCTGTGGTGGTGGTGTGTGGTGGTGTGTGTGGTACTGGTGGTGGTGCTGGTGGTGGTTGTGGTGGTGGTGGTGGTGGTGTGGTGGCGGTGCGGCGCGGTGGTGGCGGGCGGATGGGCGCGCGAGAAAGAGGCCCGCGCTGGGGCGAGAACGCCATCCTGAACGACGGAGGCCAAACACCGATCCGAAAATGAGGCCCACGCTGCAGCGGGAGCACGATTCGGAACGATTCGGGAGCAGAAATGAGGCCGGCGCCTCAACGAGAGCAGCATTTTGGGAAAAAATGACGCCGGCGCCTCAGCGAGAGTCGTTTCCCGGGATTTCCCGGGCATCCTGTGTCTAAAAAAACAGTACGCGGAGGGTGCGCGGCCATCACCCGGACGCCATCAGGGGAAGAGGGAGAGTATTTTCATATTGAATAATTGTAGAGGGTGGGAGGGGGAGAGGGAGGGGGAAGAGGAAGAGGATGAGGAAGAGGAGGAGGGGGTAGAGGACGAGGAGGAGGAGGAGGAGGAGGAGGGTGGAAGAGAAGAAGGATGAGGAGGGATGGGAAGAGAGAGGGATGAGGAGGGGGAGAAGAGGATGGAGGATAACGAGGATAAGGAGGATGAGTGAAGAGGAGGAGGGGGTAGGAGGAGGCTTAGCAGGGTCATGCACAGGATAAGGAGCATGCGGAGGAAACGGGAGGGATGATGAATGGTATATACATTCGGGCGGATGAAGACAACGCGGAGAAACCAGAGGGAGGAGGACAAACAATAGGGAGCAGGGGGAGGGAAGAGGGAGATGCGGAGGACGATGAGAAGGAGGAGGAGGAAACAGGAGGAGGCGTCAGGGCGAAGTGGGAAGGTGATCATCGTTTCTCTTGTTTCCTCCTCCTCCTCCTCCTCCTCCTCCTCCTCCTCCTCCTCCTCCCCCTCACTTTCTTTCACCGCCCCAGGGGGTGGCTCACTTACGAAAGCAGACAGGTAGAGCCTTTTTCGGGGAGGTGACTTTCGTCCCCGACTGCGTCTACGGGCACTGCGCGCAGATCTCCTTGAAGGACGCGCGACGCGGTTCTGTATTCTCGTGTTGTTCCCTCCTCTTCCTCTTCCTCATCCTTGTCCTCCTTTTCCTCCTCCCCCTCCTCCTCCTCCTCCTCCTCCTCCTCCTCTTCTCTTTCTTGAGTTGGTCAGACTTGAGCTACGTGAGACCTCTTCTCTCTTCCTCCACATTCTCCTTTCTCCTCGCCTCCCCACCCACCCCCATCATTCCCCTCTCCCCTGCATCTCCCTTCTCCTCCTCATCCTCCTCCTACTTCTACTCATACTCATACTTCTTCTTGTTCTCCTTCTCCTACCCTCTGCCCTGCCCCTCCACTCTCCATGCCGCCTGACCCACCTCGTCACCCGACTCACCTGATGGCCAGCACGGACGTGTACGACAGGACGGCCTTACGGCACCACTTTTGACGCATTACCACACCGCCTACACCCCCAAGTGCAGGTGCGGCGAGCACTCACACTCCTGCCGCGGTGCTCACGCTGCAAGCTGTGTGCAGAGCGGGTGATATACGCGTCTTGCTCCGCCAGAAGCGAATCATTTGCAACATGGCAGCATGTATTGCTTGACATCGATGTCCAAATGTTTACAGTGTGCGTGTGTGTGTGTGTGCTTTCCAGCGTGGACCCCGAATCGTGACATGTTGCCTTGTTGTTGTGCGGGCTATGTGGTATAATATGTGACATGTGATACGTGTGGTGCGAGCTGTGAGGCTACCTGGTGCAGTTGACATGGTGTAGTAGATGTGGTGTGAGTTATGCGGTGTAAGCTTTGTGGATGCATATGTGTGGAATGAAGTGTTTGGTGGAAGCTATGCTGTGCATGCTGCCCACTGTATGTGCAATATGTGTGGAGTGAGCTATTGGGTTTAAGCTATGCGATGCAATCTAAGTCGTGCAGTCTATTCAGTGCGAGCTCGGTGATGCAATTAGGTGGTGCAATTTGTGTGGTGTGAGCTACCGCATGTGAGCCATTCGGTGTGAACTATGCGTGAGCTCCGAGGTGTAAGTTATGTCGCGCAATATATGTGGTGTGAGCTACGTAGTCCACCCAGCGCACGAGGCGGCTACGAGACGGCCACGGGCGGCAACGTGAAACATTCTCGCCAGAGCTGTCCAATTCTTTAGTGATATCCGTGAGAAGCTCTAAGTACAAGCACCGTTTTGGGAATCTGGATGTACACATATCTGCGGTGGTATGTGCATGTTCCTGCATATGTATACGCCCTTTGCTGATACTGAGAAGAGGCATGCTGATAATGCTGGAGGGGGATGGGGAGGGAGAGCGAGTCTTGAGCATGAGCATCAGGGGGGAGGACAGAGAGAGAAGAGAGGGGAAGCAGCTAGGAGGGAGCAGGGAGGAAGGCGATCAACAGGTGGAGCAGTAGGATGAGGAATTTGACGCGCTGTCGAAGGGCAGATTACTGTTGTGACGCAGAAGCTCGCCCAGACAAGCTTGTCACAGGAAGCTCCTTTTATTTGCATCTGTATCTGGGGGGCAGGATTTGTCCGCTCCAGCCGGCGTCTGTGGGAAGCAGCAACGTCATCGTGGCACCAACGGGCTTTCCAGAGGGCCCGAATCCTTGTTTTCCCAAGTCATTGAACGAAGTTTCGGCCACGTTCGTAGAACCAGCTTTGCGACGAACGTGATAGTTGTCGGCACACTCACTTGGCGAGGCGAGTCGTGTATACTATCGCTGTCCGCTCCCATCCCCTTCTCCTCGCCAAAAAATGCTGCGACGCAGAATCCGAATGGGAGGATGATTGCGGAGGTCACTGCGTGTAGCAGACTTCTTCTTCTTCTTCTTATTATTATTATTACTATCATTCTTCTCCAACGTCTTCTTCTTCTTTTTCTTATTATTCTTCCAGTGTCTGAGGTTTCGGGGAGGGGGAGGAGGAGGAGGAGGAGGCGGAGGAGGAGGAGGACAGCGAGCATGAGGAACATATCCAGAAGGAGCAGAGGGAGAGTGACGAGAACGAGGGGCTCGAGGCAGGAGGGAAGGAGGGACGACGAGAAGAGGTGGAGGAGGAGGGGGGGGGCGCCGAGAGAGGCCGAGGAGCCCCTCCACGGGGCGCCCGGCGCCCCCGCAGGAGCCCAGGAGGATGGCCCCGTGCGCCGGGGAGCTCGACGGCACCTGGGTGGGCGACGGCGACTTCATCGAGGATGGGGCGGCTCCACGCGGGGGCCCTCGCGGGAGGGGGGGGGGCCCGAGGCCGAGCAGGGGGGTCCCCGGCCGCGCCTGCACGGGTGGGAGGCCGCCCGTCCTTGGGGCCCCCCTTCCCGCGAGGGCCCCCGCCGCGAGCCGCCGGGAGGAGTGCCTCATCCTCTGCGCGCACCGCCCCTCCGAGGAGGAGCGGCGCGAGGCGGAGGCGAAGAGGCCCTCGTGCAGGGGGGGCGCGCGCGCGTGCTCGGCGGGAGGCGGCGCCCCGCCCCTGCCTGAGGGGGTCCACCGCCCCCCTCTCTGGGTTTCCATCTGCTGCTGCTGCGGCTGCTGCTGCTCCTCCTCCTCATCTTCCTCCTCCTCCTCCTCTTCCTCCTCCTCTTTCTCCTCCTCCTCCTCCTCTCCTCCTCCTCCTCCTCCTCCTCCTCCTCCTCCTCTCTCCTCCCTCCTCCCTCTCTCCCTCTCCTCCTCCTCCCCTCCTCCTCCTCCTCCTCCTCCTCCTCCTCCTCCTCCTCCCCCTCCCCCTCCCCCTCCCCCTCCTCCTCCCCCCCTTGCTTCACCGTCACCCCCATCCGCGCTCTCCGTCTTTTTCGGCTCTTCTCCTCTCTCTTGCCTCTTCTGTCCTCTCTCGGCTCTTTCTACTCTCTCTCTCTCTTTTTCTATTCGTTCTCTCTCCCTCTCTCTTTCTCTCCTCATTCTTATGTATTGTTTTATACAGCTGCCTTGGGCAAGTCCCGCCATCGTGATAGCGCATGATGTGAAGGAGGAGGAGGAGGAGGAGGAGGAGGAGGAGGAGGAGGAGGAGGAGGAGGAACAGGAGGAGCAGAAGGAAGAGCAGGAAGAGGAATGCCGCCACATGTGACACCATTTGTCTTCACTTGTTCAGGAGCCCTCATGGAACTCGTTAGGGCCGTCGTGTGGCTGTCTGGGCCTCCTGTGAGGCCATCTTGGGCCGTTTGGGCCCCTCTGAGGCCGTCTTGGGGTTCTTCCGCATGGTGGGTGCCTGGGGGCAGTCGTGAGGCAGTGTTGGCGCCATTTTGGGCAGTGGAAGGGCCCGAGAAGCCCGTCTTGGGTCCCCCGGCAGGCCATCCTGGGCAGTCTTGAGGCCAGCGTGGCCCGTCTTGGAGCCCTCTTGGGCCGCCTCGGAGGCATCTCGGCCTCGGGAGCGCGCATCCGTCGTATCTACCAGGGATTGTGGCCTCGGGGGCGCGAACGTGCCATGCATTACAGGGGATGGTGGCCTCGGGACGGGGGCTTATGCATACAGAGAAATGCGACTAGATGCGGGGGTCTTTTTATCATATTGCAGAAACTCAGCCAGACAGCACTTGGCATTCTAGCTCGCTCAAACGTGGCTAGTTTTTTTTGTATGTTCTCTATCTCTCTCTCTCTCTTCCTCCTTCCTTCTCCTCCCTCCTCTTTTCTCCTCCCCCTCCACCTGACCGGCCTCCACCTCGTTTGAGGGACATTCTTGATAAGGCCATCCCTGTGTCTCGGCTTGAAGCTACTCTTTGAGCCCCCTCCGTGCTGTCAAAAGCGTTTCGTCGGTCCACAACGGCTTTCCGGCTGGCCAGGATGCCCCACGATATGAGCGGAGAGTGGTTGGTTTTCTCCAGCGGGTGAAGGAGAAACAAACAAGGAATTCGATAGCATACATTTGTTTCCCTTGCCGAGTGTTTGGCGCGATGGCCATCCGACCTCTCCTCGCACGGTCGTTATCACACTCTAGTGTACTACATGATGTTGTGCTATAGCATCGCATCTCACGTTATCGCAAGGTGTCTTGTCTTTTCATGGCAATATCCATATAATCTTATTATATGGTATAGTATATTGTGTTGCCTTGCCACACATCATCGTAGCTGGTACCATACCAGACTGTCTGGTATTATACCTTCCTCTATTAACATGCACTGGCAGATCTTTACATCTAATCAAAACCCACCTCACAAGACCGTATATCATATTATCGTAGTGCATTGTAGAGGGCCCTACAGGGTCCCGCTTGATTACGGAACACTTACTTTTCAAAAGGGGCTCGGTCGTTCCTTTGGTTTGCATGCGTTCCGCTACCTTTTTGGCGGCGAGCCCCCCTGGTGTTCCTTGAGATTATTGACGCGCGGGTTCGTTTTGTCGATGAGGGTCGCTAGAAAAGAGCTCGGACGTTCCTTCGGACTTCGTAGACTTACTTGGAAAAAGGGGGCTTCGTTCCTTATTTTTGTTCCTTAGTCCAGGCCGCATCCTGTATTCTAAATAATCTCTCATGTATTATCCTGTTGTTCGTGCCTTATTGGTATCGGGTATTCTACGTCATGGTCTTATGGTGTCTTACCGTATCGTACGTTAGCACGTCTGATAATTCTTCATTTTTCGCATATACGAGTACATGTTTTACATGCCATGTCTTATAGTCTAATGTTATATTGCATAGTTGTGTCTTATCGTGTATCATCTTATAAACCCTGACCCCATCGAATTTATAGTATCTTATCTTACCTGATCTTCCTCCTCCTCCTCCTTCTCCTCCTCCCCCTCACTCATCTCTCCTCGCTCCTCGCTCTTCCCCTCGCTCCTCGCTTCTCGATCCTCGCCTCTCCTCCTCCCCATCCTCCTCCCCCCTTCTCCCCCTCTGACCCTCCTGCGAGGTTCGGTCTCAATGGTACGTGCCACGGGCGAGCTTCGGGCTCATTTCAAATATATTGGCGCTCTGTTATTCTGTCCTTCGTTTTCTGCATGCTGACCGGAACCGCATCCAGGTAGGAGACCCAGGAGTGGGCATGGAGAGGGATCGAGCTGCCCTGCTGGCCACAGAGCTGGCGTCCATCAAGTAGTGGAGGTCTAGAATCTCGCCCCCCCATCGACCTTGCGCCTTCTCGTCGTCCCATGCCTCCTCCCCCCTCCCCCTCTTCCTCTTCCTCTTTGCATGGTGATGATATTGATACGTGGAGTGAAGCAAACACCAACTTCTAGGACACGGCGGTTCAGGGCTCATCAGCCTTCCAGGCCGCCCTTCGGTCGGCTAGTTCGGATGGGTTCGAGTCGGCTTCTCCGCACTGGGATTTGGAGAAGCTGTTTGATCTGGTTCTTCTGTCGCTGCTGGTACGGCTCGCTCGCGCTGAAGGCGGGTTACCCTGTCCATCTCCTGAATTTCGGTACTGTCGTGCATACGTGTCCCAGTCTGCTCCCAGTGGCTGGCGCCATCTCGGAGGTGACCCTCCCGTGCCGATCGATTCTCGCTGGGTGTCGCCAGCCGATGCCATGGGTAAATACAACAGACAGACTTGCAGGATCTGCTCGATCTTGCTCGTCGGAGGTTGCCTGCGCTGCAGATTCGATCGTAGGTCAATGGTAAGTCGCAGTAGCTCCCAGGGTTGCGCGATCACGGTGTGCCTTCCCTGCCGCCTGCTGCTTCTGATTTAATTTTTCGCCGATGCGAAGTCCACCGCTGCTTGCGTTGTGTCTGCGAAGCCGGCGGCGGTGGCCTCCGCTGCTGAGCCTGCGCGCGACCCCAGCGCGGCTTCCCGAGGAGAAGCGGTTGCCTGCCAGGTCTGCTTCTCAGGTCAAGCGCCTTTAGGCGCCATGGCGACTGACCGTAAGGAGAGGTGCTCGTGGCAAGGGAAACTTCGAAGGCACAAGGCCTTCGAGGGATCTCGGAAGCTTGCGTACCTTGCCCGCTTGCGAGAAGAGTCCAGCAATGTCTGCAAGCCTGGAGTTCGGTCCGTGGGATCCTGGAGCCATTCGGTTCTGGGCCTCGCGGTGGCAGATGTCCAGGGTCTTCGGTTGCAGGCGGCACAGCGTTCGGGGCTTCGCAGCTCGGGGGCTCGCACGACCACCACGCCTGCTGTGAACGATGATGAAGCTGATGGCCCTGCTTTTCCTGTGGGGAAGGAGCGCCTGCTTGCTATTGCTGGTGTTTGCAGCTTACTGCCAGCTGGGCGGGAGCGTGGAGTCGAGCGTGCCCCGTCCAGGCACGCTGATCCACCCTGCGCTCTTGAGGCTGGGAGGCTGCTGGGGGACTGAAAAGGACCTGCTGGCGCGACGATGTGTACCGTCCTGTGCCCAGGGTGGGGTCCCGACTCTGTCCTCCTCCTCCTCCTCCTCCTCCTCCTCCTCCTCCTCCTCCTCCTCCTCCTCCTCCCCTCCCCTCCCCCTCCTCCCTCCCCCTCCTCCTCCTCCTCCTCCTCCTCCTCCTCCCTCCTCCTCCTCCTCCTCCTCCTCCTCCTCCCCTCCTCCTCCCCCTCCTGCCACCTCATGGTCCCCCCCCACTGGAAAGCTCCGTCTTGAAGATAGTGTTTCCTCCTTCCATTTTTCCTGAGGGAGGTGCTTATCCAACTGTTGTTGGAGTTGGAGTCTGCACACGGTTTGTGCTCCAGGAGGGGAGGAACTCCGAGGCTCCCTGTTTATGCTGTGCTGTGATTGGCTGTCTTTGGCCTGGGGCCAGACTGCAGGGTGCTGGATGTTTCACTGCCTGTCTTTGCCCGCAATTTGACGTCGAAAGGGCGACAACTGCACCGCCGAGTGTGGGGTTGCTCGTGTAATGACCAAGTTGATTCCCCGCACATGTTACAATCCAGCATGTATGTTGACTTCGTTCTGCTTGACGTGCATCAGCGCTCAGCTGTCTGGAATCGAACTTTCCCGCCGCTTGCCGCTGATGTGTCTTATCTCCCCCCTTCCCGCAGTCTTGTGTAATCGTGGGACCTGTTCTCTGACGGGAGCGTGCTGACAGGAAGAACTTACGGATTGGATGATTATGGCGGTAAGTCTGCTGAATATCACCGCCGATTATGTCACTGTGGTTGGATTGTCGCTCGTCTTGATGAAGAGAGCGTGCGCGATTTTGAGTCCATATGTCATTATGTGATGCTGTTGTGATGTGCATTCTACGTGATCTACCGCTCGCCCGAGGCCTTGGTCGAGGCCGATCTTACGTGTTCAGGACCTCCCCGATGTTGGATCTGTGTGTTCGCAGCAGGGAAGCCATGACGGTATTGTTGCCTACCTTGTCACCATGCGGGCCCATTCCTCTCATGTGTCGTCTGCCCTCTGGGAAATTTTGTTCTGCCAATCTTGTGGGCGGTCTGATATGAAAACCGCCCAGCAGATTGGCCAAGCGTGCCCAGTGGCCCTGGCGCGCTCCAGGGGCAGACCTGCTCCTGGCCCCGCCAACGCTGGGGCCACTGTCCTGTCCCGACTGCCCCGAGGGCTGCCCCCAAAGTGCAGTATGTGCTTTCGAGTCCCGGCTTGATCAGAAGTGCTCATATGGTCCAGACCATCGGCGCCACCCCAATATGCTTATGCTACATGTGCGTCGCCCCCCCCCCCCCCTCCCCAGGGGCGACGTGCGCACCGAGAAATCTTATAGTATATGCGCCGTGGCGGGCGCTTTCTGGCCACACGGCTCGGGAAACGATATATTACAAGATGGGTCTATTATATGTTCGGGTCGGACGCGCGCCTCCTAGGAGGACGCATAGTACTAGTATGTCTCTGTGCGTCCCAGACCAGGGTCCTCCTCACCCTCTCTCTCTCCCTTCGCCATCCCCTTGGCCCCCGGCTCACCCGTCCGCCCGCCCCCCCCCTCGGGCTCGGCCGCGCGTGCCCGCCAGGCTGGCCGAGGAGGAGGCGGCGCGCAAGAAGCGCGAGGAGCCGGGGGAGCGGGGAGGACGGGGACGGGAGGGATAGGGGGCGTTTTCGTCGTCGTCCTGCTCCTCCTCTTCCTCCTCCTCCTCCTTCTTCGCTCCTCCTTCTCCCTCTCTTCCCTTCTCCCATCGGTGAGTGATGGGCTGGGGGGACGGGGAGGTGGGCGGAGAAGGGGAGCGGAGCAGGAGAGGGGGTAGGGACCGGGCGAGGGGACCGGGGCGGGGGAAGAGACAGGGAGGGACAGGGGACGTCGTCGTCGTCCTCCTCCTCTTCGTCCATATCCGTTCCTCTCTCTCCCCTCCCTTTTGCCACGGGTGCCACGTGACATGGGCTGGGGGCCTGGGCAACTTGCTGCGAAGGCTGGCCCTCCCCCGTTCTGCGCCCGAGCTGCCACTCTGACTCTGACCGGATCGGATGTGCCCTGGGCCCACGGTCGGCTTCGCCGAGTCGGTCTGCGCGGCACGGCGCGTCCTCCTCCCCAGTTGGATCACTTTCCTCTCCTCCGCACCTTTAGAGTCGTGCGTGCGCGGGCCCCCTCCTCCAGAGGCCCTGCGAGCTTTCCCCGCCACTGCTCGAAGCGCCCCCCCCTCACCAGCCTCGAACTTATCCCTATCCCTGAGATTGACACGCCAAAAGGCGATGACAATCTTAGGGATGCGCCCTGAAAAACTAAGGGAATCCCTAAGATTGGCATCGCGATGAGGCGATGCCGAACATAGGGATAGGGATATGTTCCAGGCTGGTACACCCCCCCCCCTTGAACGACCAATCGCTCTCTGGGCAGGCCCTTCAGGCGAGAGCCCCGCTTCGAGCGGGCAGTGATGTGCCTCTTCCCCGCGCGTCGCCAGCAATGCGGCAGAGGTATTCTCCTGCATTCCAACGAGGTGTCCTGCAACCCCCATGCGTACAACTGCTGCGCAAGTTTGCGGTCCTGGCCAGGAGCTCTGGGGAATTTCAAGCGGGAGCCCAGTCTTGAACAGGAGTCGCCTTCCATCTGTGAATTTGGTACATTTTGTACACATCATATTCAGGTTCTTGGTATCAGGTTTCGAGAGCATCTCTTTCGAGCTGCGCAAGTTTTCAGTTAAGGTCATGTGCTCCAGGGAACTTCGAGCGGGAGCCCAGTCTTGAAAAGGCATCGCCCTCCATCCGTGCATTGGATATAACTGTCCAGACATTATATTTATCGCTTCTCTCATTCCGCCGGCCCTGGAGCCCTCTTTAGGACCTCTTGGGGGCCTCTTGGGGACCTCTTGAGAGTCTCTTGGGGCTTCTTGGCGGCGTCTTGGGGGCCCCCAGCGCCTCTTGGGGGGCTTTTGGGGGCCTTTCGGGGCGCCTCCGTTGGAGTGCTCTGGGGACCTGACCGGGACCTGACCAGGACCTGGCCGGGGTACTTCTCGGCCGCTCCGCGCGCGCGAACTAGAAATATTGTGAACCAGTTACCCGAGATCTCAGCACGCCTCTGGCCCGTTGGGCCGGCGAATTCAGGTTCGTGGTGTCAGGATTCGAGAAACGTCTCGGTCTCGATCGAGAGTCCCTTTTGAAAAGGCGTCGCCCTCCATGCTCGTAGCTAGCGGCTGCGAGCTTTGAAGACGAACGTGCGCGGCAGCGCGAAGGCGATCAGCCTCATCTTGAACATGAGCCGCCCTCCATCCCTGTAGCTGTTGCGAACGTCTAGCTTCCTCCTCCTCCTCCTCCTCCTCCTCCTCCTCCTCCCTCCTCCTCCTCCTCCTCCTCCTCCTCCTCCTCCTCCCTCCTTCTCCTCCTTTCTCCTCCTCCTCCCTCCTTCTTCTCCTCCTCTTCCTCCTCCTCCTCCTCCTCCTCCTCCTCCTCCTCCTCCTCCTTGTAGCTGTTGCGAACGTCCAGCTTCAGGGCTACAGGTGGTGAGGGCGTCTCGGGCGAAACGCCCGGCCCCGCCCAACCGACTTGTCCGGGAGTTGCGATTGGGAGGGGGGCCATTTGGAAGGGTTTGGTATTGATGGGGGGGAGGCGAGAGCGAAGGTCGTGAGGGCGGGAAGGTCGGGAGGGCAATGGGATGGGAGAGAGGGGAGAGCAGGGAGGAGGAGGAGGAGGACGCATGACGCAGCATAGAACGGCGAAGCATCCGAGAACGCAACGACGACTATATAATACTGGGCGAGGGTAATAGGAGGAGGAGGAGGAGGAGGAGGAGAGGAGGAGGAGGAGGAGGAGGAGGAGGAGGAGGAGGAGGAGGAGAGGAGGAGGAGGAGGAGGAGGAGGAGGAGGATGAGGAGGAGGAGAGGAGGAGGAGGAGGGAGGAGGAGGAGGAGGGAGGAGGAGGAGGAGGAGGAGGAGAGAGAGGAGGGAGGAGGAGGAGGAGGCGGAGGAGGAGGAGGAGGAGGAGAGGAGGAGGATGGAGGAGGAGAGGAGGAGGAGGAGGAGGAGGAGGAGGAGGAGGAGGAGGAGGAGGAGAGGAGGAGGAGAGGAGAGGAGGAGGAGGAGGAGAGAGGAGGAGGAGAGGAGGAGGAGGAGGAGGAGGGGAGGAGGAGGAGGAGGAGGAGGAGGAGGAGGAGGAGGAGGAGGAGGAGAGGAGGAGGAGGAGGAGGAGGAGGAGGAGGAGGAGGAGGAGGAGGAGGAGGAGGAGGAGGAGGATGAGGAGGAGGAGGAGGAGGAGGAGGAGGAGGAGGAGGAGGATGAGGAGGAGAGGAGGAGGAGGAGGGAGAGGAGGAGGAGGAGGAGGAGGGAGGAGGAGGAGGAGGAGGAGGAGGAGGAGGAGGAGGAGGAGGAGGAGGAGGAGGAGGAGGAGGAGGAGGAGAGAAAGAGAGGAGGAGGAGGAGGAGGAGAGGAGGAGGAGGAGGAGGAGGAGGGGAGGAGGAGGAGGAGGAGGAGGAGGAGGAGAGGAGGAGGGGAGGAGGAGGAGGGGGAGTAAGAAGAGGGGAAGAGAAGGCGGGATGAGAGGAGGAGAGGATGAGAGGAGGAAGGAGGAGGAGGAAGGAGGGAGTTGGAAGAGTGGGAGGGGAAGGCGGGAGGAGGGGGACGAGGAAGAGGGAGGAGGAAGAGGGAGGAGGACGAGAAGGAGGAGGAGGAGGAGGAGGAGGAGGAGGAGGAGGAGGAGGAGGAGGAGGTGCAGGAGCAGGAGCAGGAGCAGGAGCAGGAGGAGGAGCAGGAGCAGGAGCAGGAGCAGGATGAGGACATGATAGGATTCCAGATGTGGCGCGAGCGCACCTCGCCTGGCCTCTCTCCCTCCCCCTCTCTTTGCGTCCCTCTCCCACCGTGCCTGGAGATGCCGGCGGCCTCTCCGAGACCTCGGCGCCCGCAGCCCGAAGGACGCAGAGGCCCACGCGGCCGCGAGGCAGAAGCGCAAGGAGCAGCAGGCGTGGCCCCGCCAGCGGGGGGGAGGCGCTGCGCGGCGGCGGCGCTGGCGCGGGCGAAGTCTCTGGCGCGCCACCGCCCAGGGGTCGGCCTGCTCCCTCCTCCTCCTCCTGCTCCCTCCTCCTCCTCCTCCTCCTCCTCCTCCGTCGACTCCACGTAGGAGTGACCCTTCGCCGGAGGGGCCGTTGGGTGCGGGCCCACTGGGGCCGCTCGATCGCCGAGCGCGCCCCTCGACGACGACGACGACGACGACGACGACGACGACGACGACGACGACGACGGCGGCGGCGGCGGTGGCGGCGGCCGCGGCGGCGACGACGACGACGACGATGACGACGGCCGCCTCTTGAGGTAGGTGTCTGGAGGCTCTCCCGTGCCTGTCAGCACCACGCCGTGCCCGCGAGCACGGCGCCACAGCTGTGGGGGGGGGGGGGCTGGGGCCCCCTCCCCGTACCCACGCCGCTGCCTGTCCCCGTCACCCGGTTCTCCCCCTTTTTGGGGGGCCTCTCGGGAGGCCCCCGTCGCCACGGCTGGAGTCGTCTCTCGAGATCCTCGTCGGCACGCGCCCCTGGCGGAGGTCCGTGGATCAGCGGCGTCAGTGCCTCGGAGGTCCGTGGATCAGCGGCGTCAGTGCCTCTCGGTTTCCCCACTCGCAGGGGGTGGGCCAACCCCGTCTGGCTGACCCGGGTTTTTGGGGGTTCGGGAGCCGCGCGGAATGGACCCTCTCCATCGAGGAAGCGCAGAAATGGGTGAAGGCGAGTGGATTGGCGACGGGTCCCGTTTCCGTGCAGAATCGGGGCGCTGCGTCGCCAAATCAGACCGCGCTGGCCTCATGTTTCGAGGGTGCCGTCCTCGATCCGTCGGAGAGCGTGCGTTACCATTTCAGGGTTCATTTTGATCCGATCGATCCGGTTCGAGCTCCAGTTCGGCCAGCCCGATCTGATTAGATTTTGACTTATTCGGACCATCCGATGTGGCCGGGTCCTTGCATGGCTATGTTGTGCGTCCTGGCGCAGCCAATCCGATCAGATTTCGACTCCGTGCCGAAGCAGGCCGTTCCGCCGCGCGTTCCGATCCGATCTGAGTTCGCGATCCGGTGCGGATCCGTCCTGCCCTCCCCTCCCCCCGCTGGTTCCGGAGGTGGAAAAACTGCGTCGTGCTTGGAGGGGCGCGAGAGGGCAGTGAGGGCCGCAGAGAAGGGGCCCTGTAGGGGGCCCAGAAGGGGGCCCGAGAAGAGCACCTTTCCCCCCCCCAGTTACTCCAGATTTCGTAATAAAAGGGAGGGGGTCACAACCCTCCCAGACGAGAAGTTTTAGCCCCCCCAGACCATCCATCAAAGGGCGGCCCTTTGCCCAGACCCCCCCGAACCCTCCGAGACAGCTCAAATTAGAACCCCCCCGAATGTGACCCCCCCACTTTGTTATGGAATCTGGAGTATCGTTCCTCCAGTTATTATACCGCTTTGCTCACCCCGCCGGCTCACATTGTCTCGCTGTTGTCGTTTGCTCGTGTGCTGTTGTCGATGCGGTGCGTCTCGGCGGCCGCCACTTGTTGGAGGCGTTGCCCGGGGAGCGGCTGAGGTGAGGCAGTTGCCGTGGAACTGGCCCCTGGGGGTCAGTCGCAGATTTTTGCGGTGTTGTGTTGGCACGGTGGCCGCCAGTGGACCAGAATCGTCCCACGTCGGACGATCCGACGTTTCGAAAACGGCCAATCGTTCAAGGTTGAGTGATCTCCGAGGTGTCAGGAAAGAATGCCAAGGTCCGCCGTAGCAGGATGAACGGGTACCATTGAATTTGTTCATGCAATCTAGTCTCTTCTTTTCTCCCCTTACATCTTCTTCTCTCCCTGCCCGAGGATGAGGACGACGGTGAGACGGCGAGGGTCACCGGTGGTATATGATGGTGTGCTCACGGAGAGAAGGGGGGCGAGGAACAGCTGCAGGAAATGTAGGAGGAGGAGGGGGGGATGAGGACGAGGAGGAGGCATTTCGATGGCCGCTTGGGGCATTCTGGAGGCCTCTTGGGACCTCATTGGGGGCCTCTTGGGGTTTTGTGAGGGCGCATCGGGGCCTCCTGGTATTGTTTCGGGGTGGACAGTTCAAAATGTCCGTTCGGGTTCCCCATCTTTGCCCCCCTGGGCCCCCTCCCTCTTGGGGCTTTCCTGGGGCCGTTTTGGGCCGTATTGGGGGCCTGTTGGGCCGTCTTGGGAGCCCCTTCGGCCGTCTTGGGGCCTTTTTGGATCGTCCTGGGGCCCTCTTGGAGGCCTCGTGGGCCGTCATGGGGCGATGTTGGGGGCGTCTTGGGTCGTCATGTGGTATCGGGAAGCCCTCTCGGGGCCGTCCTTGGTCCATCTGAGGCCGTCATGGAGGCCTCCTGGGCCGTCTTGGGGCGATCCTGGGGCCGTCCTGGGCCGCGCTGGAGCGTCGGGGAGCCGAGAAGGGAAGAACGCCAGAACCGCTGACAAACCGCGGAGAATAAATTTTTGTTGCTTGCTGAAACGTTGGACCGACGACGTCATCAGCAGTTAAGAAGTTGGGATTGAGAGAACGTGTGAGAAGCAGCGTTCCGGCAGCCCGAGCAGGGCGCGCTCCGGCGCACGCCGGCCTTCGACCTTCGACCTTCGACCTCCTGGGGTCCCCTGGAGACGCCTCTTGGAGGCTTCCTTGGGCGCATTGGAAGCGTTCGCGGCCGTCTCGAAGCCATCTAGGGTGTCTTGGACCGATCGGCCGGCGACTCGGGGCCCTGTTGGACCGTCTCGGGGGCCTCCTCAGGCCCTCTGGGAGCGCTATGGGAGGCTGAAGGCCGCACGCAGTAGAAAAAGGATGTCTGACCCCAGCGCCCCGGGAGTCTCGAGTGGTATTTCTCGTCCCGGGGCCCTCAGGGGTCGCCCCGCGCGCGCGAACTAGATATATTGTTCACCAGTTACAGGGAATCTCAGCGCGCCTCTGGCCCGTTGGGCTGGCGAATTCGCGCCCATGTGGCCAGCCCGGATTCGCGGCGCGGTTCTGGCTGGGCTGCCCGGGTCTGGCGTTGGTTCGGGTCAGTGCCCATCCCTTGCGGACACCCTTCCGAGGGCCCGGTTTTGGAAACGCGCAGGGCATGACGTCCGGTCGAGATGTGGGATCGACGGCCGCTTGCGGATGCCAGCAATAGAGGGGGCCGTTCAAGGTTGAGCGGCTCGCGGGGTGTCAGGAACGAATGGCCCATGTTGCCACGGAGAGATTTTCCCGTTCTCCGAGCAGTCCATGGGATTCTGTCTCATCATAAGGATGATGATGGTGGTGGTGGTGGTGATGATGATGATGATGATGCTGCTGATGATGATGATGATGATCCTGGTAATGGTCTCGGTGATGGTGAGGATGAGGATGATGATGCAAATGCTGATGCAGTGGATGATGATGTTGCTGACGGTGGCGATGGGGAGGAGGATGATGAGGAAGAGGATGAGGACCTGTGTAAGCCCAAAACACATCGACGGTATTGCAAAAAACCCTCTCTCTCCAAGCTCCCTCTCCGTCGGCTTCTCCACGAATTTATTTTCATTGGGGGCAATGCCCCGTTGGAAGAAAATCGCTTGAAAATCCGGGAGCGTGCCAAAATTGGGGGCTTCAACGTCGCCAATCACCATATCGGGTCGTGGCAAAACGCTGCTCATGGGACTTCAAAAGCAGAAATCAACGTGACAACTGCGCCCTGAGATTTCGACATCGTGCCAACATTGTATTTGCAGGGCGTTTGCCATGAGAGTCTTTGAAATTGCTGCGAAAGCTAAAAACCAATGTGCGTGGCGCGAAAGCGAGATCCACAGTTTGACACGGAGCCGCCCTCCATCCGCGAAGTTGTTGCAACCTTTTACGACGAATGCGCGCGACGCCAAGGCGAACATCACATTTTGAAAATGAACCACCCTCCAACCGTGACAAACATCGTATTTTTTTAAGACGAGTGTACGCGGCGGTGACGCGAGAGCCGCATTTTGAATACGGACCGCTTCCCCTCCGCTGAATTTGTTTCACATGTTAAAGCGCATGTGCGCGGCGCCAAGGCGAAAACTACATTTTGAAAGCGGGTCGCCCTCCATTCCGCATCCGTGAAACAGTTACAGCATTTTCAGTTTCAGCAGCATATGTTGTGAGGAGGTTGCAGGCGAAACGCCCGGCCCGCCCTTTCGATTGGCCTCGGGGTGTGACAGGGAGGAGTTCTCTAGTAGGAACAAGAGTGGAGCAGGAAGAACAGGAGGAGGATAAATAAAAGGTTCAGGATTAGCAGGAAAGGGCCGAAGAGGAGAAACGGGAGCGAGAAGGAGGAGCCGGAGGAGGAGGAGGAGGAGGAGGAGGAGGAGGAGGAGGAGGAAGAGGAGGAGGAGGAGGAGGAGGAGGAGGGGAGGAGGAGGAGGAGGGTGGAGGAGCGAGGAGGGGGGCAGGAGGAGCGAGGCGGAGCGGGGCGGAGCGGGGAGGAGTTTGGGAGGAGCGAGGAGCACGAAGGGCGGAGGGAGGGCACGGGTATGGGACAAGGAGGAGCAGGGAGGGACGCGGGGCAAGAGGTGCGAGGAAGAAGCGAAGGGGGGAAGCAACCGATGCGGAGGGAGGGCACGGGTATGGGACAAGGAGGAGCAGGGAGGGACGCGGGGCAAGAGGTGCGAGGAAGAAGCGAAGGGGGGAAGCAACCGATGCGGAGGGAGGGCACGGGTATGGGACAAGGAGGAGCAGGGAGGGACGCGGAGCAAGAGGTGCGAGGAGGAAGCGAAAGGGGGGAAGCAACCGATGCGGAGGGCGCTCGAGGAGAGCGCGGGGGGCGGCCGCGTGGGCCAGGGGCACACCCCCGCCAGGCCCGCGAGGCGGAGGAGCGCGCCCTGATGGAGACGGCGGACACCGAGACGATGCCACCCCGCCGGCCCGCGAGGGGGCAGCCGGGGGGTGCGGCGGTCAGCACCGTGCGGCCCACTCGGCGGCGCGCCCAGGAAGGGTCCCGCTGGGACCGCAGGGTCTGCCGAGCCCGCGGCGCCGAACGTGGCTCCGAGCCCAGGGGCCCCGAAGAGCAGAGACGGAGCCCGCGCAGAAGGCAGCAGGCACGGTCGGGAGCTCTTGGATGGCGGGCCGCTCCGCCAGTGCTGGGACCCACGCTTCGGCGCGGCACGCTCTCCACTTCCCGGCCCCCGGGCTTCCACGTGCCGGGCCTTTCCGAGGCGCCCGCCGGCAGAGCGGAGCAACAAGTTTTATGCGCCTGCGTGGCGCAGCGTGTCGCCAGTGGCGCCGCCGCGGCACGCCAAGAGCAGACGTTCCCGACCGTAGCTGCTGCTACATCCCGGTCGCAGAAGTTGATTTGTATTGGCTACAAGTTGCACGTTTGGGCGTTGTGGTGAGAATCAGTGTGGGAGTGTTCTTCTCGTTGTGGTTCCCTGCGGGAAGATATTTACAGTTGCATTGAACACACCAGTAAACACCCTCCTCTTCGTGACTTACTAGGGGGAGCGATTTGATCCTGAATAGCTTGTGCATTTGTGGTTGTACACCTGGGGGACCCCTGGAAAGCCCTCCCGCCCAGCCAGGTCGAAAGGCCGAAAGCTGTCGTGCTAGGAGTCTATGGGGAGAAGGGTGCCCCGCCCGGAGACGCCCGAATGGTCAGTGCTCAAGATGAGTAACTTCCATAACGGGTACGTAGATCATGTGAGAGCAGGCAGGAGCAGGGGCACAGAGATAGTGTGGTCCTTCACGTGAGCCCCGGAGGGTCCCAGAATTCCTTGCGGTTTTGAGGACTTCGCTTGCATTTCGCCAGATGTGGTCGACATTCGGACGAGACTTTAACGAAATTTGTACGAGCTCGGAACGAAAGGGGGAAGAGGGGCGGTCAGAAGCTTGACGAAGTCGGTGGAAATCACGTTTCTGAGAGGGCCGCGGAGGTCCACAGAGGCCCCCCATACAGGCTCACCCGGCAGAGGGCTGGAAGTGAGAAGGACCACATGGGGGTGCGGTGGGGAGCATCGTGAGGCCTGCGGTCAAGACGCCGAGCTACAGTCGTACCGAGGCATATGATCGAGGTCGGTTCGGGGAGGTTGCCCTGGAGTTCTCCGCGTTTGTTGGATGTTCTTGTGCATCCTGGGGAGGGTACCCTGGGATGTTCTGTGTGTTTTGGCCGGTGGAGGGTCTCGTGTTCTTGAGGGATGTTCCTCTGGCCCAGGTCCGACGGTGGCATTATCACTGTGCCCCCATCCCCACCTGGAAGACCCTGGCCCCGCTGTCACCCCCCACCCACCCCCGGGCCTGGACAGGTCGGACGAACCCATGGAACAGAGACGAATCCCTTTCCGAGCGTGCTCAAGCGCTCTCGGCGCGTTCCGGCGCGCTCTCTGGAGCGGCCGCGGCGCCCGATGCATCCTCCGGACCCGCCGATTCTCAGAGATTTCCGATTCAGGTCGGTCCGAGGTTGTCTCTATGGAGAAGGCCTTACGGCCGGTGCCGCCGACCCTGAAGACGACGACGACGACGAGGACGAGGACGAGTAGGAAGGAGGAGGAAGAGCAGGAGGACCCTTCAATGGGGCCTCCAGAGAGCCGAGGGATTCCTGGGGAACTGGGGGCGTCCAGGGAGCCTCCTGGGGGCTCGGCCCGATGTTGTTTCGAGTTTGCCCCTCGTCTTCGACGGGTGCCGTCTCCGTATCGCCGACGGGCGTGCGACGGGCGCACCCCGCCGGGGAGAGCGTGAGGGTCTGCTGCCGGGGACCCAGCGTCGATCCATCAGGGCGAGGCACCGTCGCCGATGCCACGTCGACGTTCCCCCCCGCGCCCTGTGCCAGGGCCCCCCTGTCGTTGCCCCTCGAATGATAGCTGATCGCTTCGCGCATGCCACCGGCCCATCGTGCCTCGCCGCTCGGGGGGTCGTGTCGGGTCCTCTTGGGGGCCTCTGGGAGGCAGTCTTGGGGCCTCTTCGGGGCCGTGTTGGGGCCGTGTTGGGGCCTCTTGGGGCTTCTGGCCCCCCTATCGTTGCCCCTCGAGTTATTCGATCGGGGCCCTATCGCCGATCTATCGGCGATGTATCGCCGATTCCGCGTCGATGTCTCCCCCCCTATGACAGTCGCCCCCGATCGTTGCCTCTAAGTGGAAGAGTGCACAGCGCACAGGGCACGGAGTCCGCACCAAACATGGGGTCGGGAGCCCCGCGGGGCCCCCGAGGGCGGAGGTAGCGCAGGGATGGCTGGGCCACGCCTTGCCTGACGTCAGGGCTCACGTCAGAGGAGAAGCGCGTCCTGATGAAAGTGCTGGTCGCATGGATAAGCGTGTGGGTCATGATATCAAGGGAGGAAAATGCCACCCATACCCGATCATTGGCGTTTACAAGACGGCCTTGGGCGTTTACTAAACAGCCCTGCCCTGTTCGATTCCTTCTTTGGGTGCGTTTACTCACGGCTTCGCGTGTCGGGGTGATTGTTATGAGGGTGGATTGTCTGCTCTCTATGATCGGTGGACTACAGGTGTGATGCAGCTTTGGCTCGCACTCTCATGTGCTGTACCTCCGCCCACGGGGTCGTTCCCCCAGCCTTGAGAGCTATGATGCGCGAGTTCACATGCATTCCATCTTTCCCTCGTCTGCCACGCTCTCTGTTCTGCTCTTCTCACTGCCCTGTGACTGCACGGTGGAGGCGGCTGGAAGAGAAGGATGCCGCGCTCTCGCCAGCGCGACTGCTCCGTTGTTCCTTGCAGCGCTTCACCCGAGAATGGCGAATGATAGGCCCTTCAAGCCGTCGGACTGGGGAAACGATGATTCTTTTTGCTTCGCGAGGACACGGCCGGACAAGCGCCTGCCCGCTCCTGGGCCGTCTTGGGGTTCGGGCAGTTGTGGGCCAGTTGGGGGACCTTTGGGCCGCAGGACGAGAGGGAGGAGGAGGAGTAGGAGGAGGTGGAAGATGACGAAGAGGAGGAGGAGGAGGAGGAGGAGGAGGAGGAGGAGGAGGAGAGGAGGAGGAGAGGCGGGGGGGGGCTTCTAGGGGTGGGGGAGAATATCGCGCGCCTGGAGACCCTAATGGGGTCGACGGTCAGCGGGCAAGGAATCTGATTGTAGTTGAGTCCCCAGCAGTAGTCTTCAGTCAAACAGGTGGACAGCCCTCCGCCCCCCTCTTCTAGAACCTACCTGAGGCCCTCCCTAGCCAGGATGAAACAGACAACGTCCTCCCTTTCGTCCTCCTCCGTTTCCTCCGTCTTATCTTTCCCTCCCTCCTCCTCCTCCTCCTCCTCCTCCTCCTCCTCCTCCTCTGTTGTTCCTCCTCTTGTCCCTCGTCTTTCGAAGGCTGATGGCCACCAAGCGCTGCTATACGCATTGCTCCCAGCCATCCTGTGAAGCCGGCTCCTCGTTTCGAGAAGACAGTCCCCGCGTCGTCCACTCGTCCCCCCTTTCCCTCCTCTTATCCTCGCCTCTGCCATCCGCACGTCAACCTGTTCGGCGCCCCGCACATGTCGACACAGCCCTCACACGTTTCGCGGCCCTGAGGGGAGCTCCACTGAAGGCTCCAGTGGCAGGGCCCACGTGCGGTTCCCGCCAATTTGGGCACAACCCTTACACGCTTCGGGGCCCCAGATGGAGCTCCGCTAAATCGGGCTCAACAGGATCCCGAAGGAAACTTCGGTGAATTGTGTCATGTTCAAAGTGGCGTATGTTTTGGTTCGATGCCGTTGTTGTGCGCTTGTCCGTTGACGTTGTGGGATGCTCTTCGAGATGCCGCAGCGCAAGATCGGGCCTTGACCAGGGAAGGCCGCGCGGCTTTTCGAGCGATGGCGCAGCCATTGATTACCCCATACTCCTTGGTAGAATTCGGATCTCTTGCGCGGAGTCTTCCTCTTGCGCGCTTGTTTTCTCCTCGTTCTTGGTCCCCCCCTCTTCCCCCCGCGCATGCTGGCGTCTTCGCGGAAGCGGTGCGGTCAGGCATGGTGTCTCGAAGTTGTCGTCGTTGTGTCCTTCTCGTGTGACGGCACGGGATACCGCGCCCCTGTCGCTCCTGGAGTGCGTTGCGAGGTGACCCCGCACACGGCGGTGCCCGCGCGGCGGCGGCGCGCGTGGGCGCGATGCCTTCAAGTGGAGGTCGTCGTCGTCTGCAACGTCGTGTCCGTCGTCTCCGCCGTTGTCGTCGTCGTTCTCCTCTCCGTGCCCGCGCATCGGGGCGAATGGGCCCCGGGCGCTTCCTCGCGCGACTGCGCGCGCTGGCGCTTGATACGCGTCTTCCCAAGTTGGAGTGGCAAACGTGTTCGCCGAATTGTTTTTTGGGGAGCTTTGCCAGAAGAGTGGAAGTCCATGCGTTTCAGGGCCGCCTCCCCGGCCAGGGCGCAACGCGCGCGCGTGTCAGAACCCCACGCACAAGAAGCCGACCCCAGCTTCCCGCGTCGAGCTTGCCCTTTCGCCCCCCGTGCTCTCGCGGGGCACATGCGCCCTCGTTCTTGCCCCGCCTTGGCTCTGGGGTGCACCTGGCGGTGTTTGCGGGGGCCGAAGTTGAGGCTTCCAGAGTGCTCAGTGGGCCAGCCAGGGGGGCCATCGACGCACCGTTCGCGCGCGGACCGAACGACCCCGTCGGAACCTCTCCTGGCGGGGCTGCACGGGCGCGCGTGGCTTCGGGGCCCGAGGGTCGCGGGCCCTCCTCGCTCGACGACCCGGGAGTCTTGGGCCCGTGGCCCCAGGGCCGCCCCGCGGACTTCGCGGGCCCCTGACTCTACGCCTCGAGGAGGAGGAGGAGGACGAGGAGGACGAGGAGGAGGAGGAGGAGGAGGAGGAGGAGGAGGAGGAGGAGGAGGAGGGAGCCCTGCGACCTTCGGTCAGGATGCCCAGGAGTCGTCTGCCCCTCCCTGCGGGGGCCCAGGAGGTCCCGCACCCTTCGCCGCCGGTCGCCGCCGTCCTCCGGCTCTGACCCGGGGGCCCAGACATCTCGGGAGGGAAAACAAAAACACAGGCACATTCCATCGTCGATCCCCCAGAAGATACG